CCCCATTCATTCTTTTCTTTACACGGATCAGTCGTCCTGGTCCCTTTGCAGAAAAACAGCCCCAAAGCATGATGTTTCCACCCCCATGCTTCACAGTAGGTATGGTGTTCTTTGGATGCAACTCAGCATTCTTTGTCCTCCAAACACGACGAGTTGAGTTTTTACCAAAAAGTTCTATTTTGGTTTCATCTGACCATATGACATTCTCCCAATCCTCTTCTGGATCATCCAAATGCACTCTAGAAAACTTCAGACGGGCCTGGACATGTACTGGCTTAAGCAGGGGGACACGTCTGGCACTGCAGGATTTGAGTCCCTGGCGGCGTAGTGTGTTACTGATGGTAGGCTTTGTTACTTTGGTCCCAGCTCTCTGCAGGTCATTCACTAGGTCCCCCCGTGTGGTTCTGGGATTTTTGCTCACCGTTCTTGTGATCATTTTGACCCCACGGGGTGAGATCTTGCGTGGAGCCCCAGATCGAGGGAGATTATCAGTGGTCTTGTATGTCTTCCATTTCCTAATAATTGCTCCCACAGTTGATTTCTTCAAACCAAGCTGCTTACCTATTGCAGATTCAGTCTTCCCAGCCTGGTGCAGGTCTACCATTTTGTTTCTGGTGTCCTTTGACAGCTCTTTGGTCTTGGCCATAGTGGAGTTTGGAGTGTGACTGTTTGAGGTTGTGGACAGGTGTCTTTTATACTGATAACAAGTTCAAACAGGTGCCATTAATACAGGTAACGAGTGGAGGACAGAGGAGCCTCTTAAAGAAGAAGTTACAGGTCTGTGAGAGCCAGGAATCTTGCTTGTTTGTAGGTGACCAAATACTTATTTTCCACCATAATTTGCAAATAAATTCATAAAAAATCCTACAATGTGATTTTCTGGAATTTGTTACCTCAATTTGTCTGTCATAGTTGACGTGTACCTATGATGAAAATTACAGGCCTCTCTCATCTTTTTAAGTGGGAGAACTTGCACGATTGGTGGCTGACTAAATACTTTTTTTCCCCACTGTATGTAAAAATGAACAATTGCAAATCATGCTGAATATTAATGTAATAACCTCCGCCCCGAAACAAGACCAATAATAAACCCAATGTGCTTTGCAGTTCATTTTGGTATGTTAATTTTCACATATACAGTACATTTACATTTTGGTCATTTAGCAGACACTCTTGTCCAGAGTGACTTACAGTCAGTGCATTCAACTAAGGTAGATAAACAACAACATATCACAGTCATAGCAAGTAAAAAGTGTCTGTAACCGTCACTGAGAATGTTGTTGCTGTTTGGGCTGGCTACTTGCAAATGTATTTCTGTATTTTAAAATACAAAATACATGTATTTTAATTAAATACATTTAGAAATACAAGTATTTTGTAGTTTATTTTTGATATATTGATCTTGGTATTGGTATTTTGTAATTGTATTTGGTAATTTTTGCCCATCCCTGCACACACACACACACACATACACACACACACACACACAAACACTCAAACACCTCCAAATAGCTTTTCCAAAACGGTGCAGCGCATTGAAGTCTTGGCAGTGTTTATGAACCAACAGAGGTATTCACACATAAGAGATCACACAAGGTGCTGTGAGTGAGATGTGTTGCTTTCCAAGCCATGCTTTTCAAAGATTGTCAAAAGGCACAGGCGAAGTTGAGACTTGCGTGAGCTGAAGTGTGAAAAGGAAGAGTCGCGTATGTCAAAACAGTCAATAAATACAGTGCTGTGTGAAGAAACGGCGAGAGACTAGGGACTGTCACTCAGACATCCCCCTTGGACTGTAAAGGATGATAGGAGATTTCAACTCTCAAAGAGAATACAGGTACTTCCATATACATGAAAGAGTTGGATAGAGGCAGTTGGGGAGAAGAGGACTGCTTTTTTTCCAATGTCATCAATGGTTTCCACAGTTCCTGTAAGTTATGTATGATCTATTGTATTTTCAGATTGTTGTGAAGGTGTTGGTGGAAAGTTATAATGAAGGGGCTTTAATAGCCCACTCTGTCTGTCTGGGTCATACATAAACGTAGGGGTAGGCCTGTCTGAACAACTGATTCTACTGACTAACTGGTGGAACTTATGAATGCAATGTCTGTGGTCAAAATGACAGACTTTTGTGGAATGCTACCTTTTCATAAATCCTTAAATATAAATTAAATTAATTGATTCTTAGATAAACATTGAGATGTTCCATAGCTGTGATTCATTTGTGGTGGCAACATCATTCTCCTGAAAAATACATTGTAAAGACAGACAGATCATGTGTGTAAGAGAATTATCGAGGGAAATGGAAAAGATTCACAATAATGACTCATGATGACTGTAATTTCCATTAACTGATGGTTTAGTGTTTGGTGATGTTTACTGGTCAAAAAACCTCCAGGCAACATGTGATATGTTTTCTATTGGTACTGCATGTGCTTCCCTCTCTCTCCTATGCACAGTGGGTTGTGAGAATACTCATAATATGATACTTCTCAATGTTGGCTCTATAATTGGCATGTCCTTATAGAGTTATTACAATTTCTCAATTTCTCGTTGTGCAGTTGAAGTACACTACCGTTCAAAAGTTTGGGGTCACTTAGAAATGTCCTTGTTTTCGAAAGAAAAGCCATTTTTTTGTCCATTAAAATAACATCAAATTGATCAGAAATACAGTGTAGACATTGTTAATGTTGTAAATGGCTATTGTTGCTGGAAACGGCTGATTTTTAAAGGAATATCTACAAAGGCGTACAGAGGCCCATTATCAGCAACCATCAGTCCTGTGTTCCAATGGCACGTTGTGTTTGCTAATCCAAGTTGATCATTTTAAAAGGCTAATTGATCATTAGAAAACCCTTTTGCAATGATGTTAGCACAGCTGAAAACTGTTGTGCTGATTAAAGAAGCAATAAAACTGGCCTTCTTGAGACTAGTTTAGTATCTGGAGAATCAGCAATTGTGGGTTCGATTACAGGCTCAAAATGGCCAGAAACAAATAACTTTCTTCTGAAACTCGTCAGTCTATTCTTGTTCTGAGAAATTAAGGCTATTCCATGCGAGAAATTGCCAAGAAACTGAAGATCTCGTACAACGCTGTGTACTACTCCCTTCACAGAACAGCGCAAACTGGCTCTAACCAGAACTGAGCAAGAGGACAAATACATTAGAGTGTCTAGTTTGAGAAACAGACGCCTCACAGGTCCTCAACTGGCAGCTTCATTAAATAGTACCCGCAAAACACCAGTCTCAACATCAACAGTGAAGAGGCGACTCCGGGATGCTGACCTTCTAGGCAGAGTTGCAAAGAAAAAGCCATATCTCAGACTGGCCAATAAAAATAAAAGATTAAGATGGGCAGTCTGAGATATGGCTTTATCTTTTTATCTCTGCCTAGAAGGTCAGCATCCCGGAGTCGCCTCTTCACTGTTGACGTTGAGACTGGTGTTTTGGTCAGTACCCGACCTCACTAACGCTTTTGTGACTGAATGGATGCAAGTCCCTGCAGCAATGTTCCAACATCAAGTGGAAAGTCTTCCCAGAAGAGTGGAGGCTGTTGTAGCAGCAAAGGGGGGACCAACTCCATATTAATGGCCATGATTTTGTAATGACGTGTTCGACAAGCAGGTGTCCACGTAACTAGCTACAACCAGGCCTGCCCTGAGAAAAGCCTGCGTTTTCACTAATGCGATTCTGCTAAGTATGATGTTCTACAGGTCCAGTCCACACTAAACTATTCTTTGCCATCTTGTATATTTGAAAACGAGATGAAAGATGCACTCTCTATTTTTCAATGCAGTCTGATTTACCACACCGCTTCATTTTATCGTCGTCTGTGAAATAAAATAATATTAAAACATTGCTGAAGTCAAAAGGTCAAATAAATCACACTGCAAAGACCAATAGGCTGTGTTTACACAGGCAGACCAATTCTGATATTTTTTCACTAATTTGATCATATCAGCTCTGGAAAAAGATCTGATGTGAAAAGATCTGATGTGGTTGGTCAAAAGACCAATTAGTGGAAAAAAGATCAGAATTGGGCTGCCTGTGTAAATGAAGCTAAACATAGAGTGTCAGACGTTCCTTTATTTTTCAAAGCTTCACATTTTCCATGACTAGAACCTCACGCAATAGGATGTGTGTTATTTACCAGTAATTTCACCATCTTTATCTACCACCATCATCAATGTGTGAAAATATGTTTTCAAGTTCAAGTAAATCACAAGAGTCTTATGTGAAATTGATTTGTGAGCTCAGATAAGCTATGTTTTATCAGATCATAGGCTGGATAGCAGATACACACTGCTGTCATCTACCACAACCACCTCTCTTTTTATGTTTTCGAATACCACCCGTGTTGCCTTGTAACAGAGGTGTTTGAAATAGCTGCCTCGTTACCATGGAAAAGCAAATGCCTGGGTGTAATGTTGAGGCAGCTGGCTGACTGCTTTATGTCTGTCTGCTTTACAATGGTGTGATTCATGTGTGATTTATATGATTGGTATTCTACAAAATACTCTATATTATGCAATGATATCAACAATGTAATTGGTATCCAGTCAATCTGGAGATGAGAAAGAAATGCATCTAGGAAATGCTTAGATAGACGTCTGATAGATGTCAAGTGTAAATAACCATAGACGTCTGATAGATGTCAAGTGTAAATAACCATAGACATCTGATAGATGTCAAGTGTAAATAACCATACACGTCTGATAGTCGTCAAGTGTAAATAACCATAGACGTCTGATAGACGTCAAGTGTAAATAACCATAGACATCTGATAGACGTCAAGTGTAAATAACCATAGACGTTTGAAAAATAGAATGCATTTAGTCAGGTAACCTCACACAGTGTGTACACATGTTTGAAAGCAATCTAGTAGCATGATTTCAAAGGGGGATTTTGATTGTTTGATTGGTAGATTGATTGGTTGGTTGATTGATTGATTGATTGATTGATTGATTGATTGGTTGATCAACTCGGTTCTTTCCCCCTGCAGGGTGAATTTGGCACTGGCCTACACAGAGCTAACTGAGGAGTTGGTACGTCTGCAGGCACTGAGCTTCAAACAGAAAGAGATCCTGAGGAAGACCTCCCAGGAGCAGCATAGCCCAGGTTAGTAACATCCCTAGAGAATGATATATGGCCCACATTTAACGGGTTAGTAATCAACAAGCTATATGCACACATCTTGAAAGCAGCATTGTCATGCTCGCCTTACAAAACAATACTTGCTTTATTGGCACATTTGCACAGATATTCTTAATTTTTTGCTGACACAGTACCCAACCTGACACACAACACACACATCACAGGCTGGGAGAAGCATAGGGCCTGCTGCAGAGCAACAACCCTTGAGCAATTAGGGATAAAGATCCTTGCTCAAGGGCACAACGGAGGTAGGGAGGATATGGGACATACAGTATACTACGGCTCACAGCTCACTCCCTCAGCTCGGCAATTTGTACCGGAAAAGAGAGGAATGAACTAGACTATCAAGGAACTGGGATATACACTACATGACCAATAGTATGTGGACACCTGCTCGTCGAACATCTCATTCCAAAATCATGGGCATTAATATGTAGTTGGTCCCCCCTTTACTGCATCCATTCAGCCACAAGAGCATTAGTGAGGTCGGGCACTGATGTTGGGCGATTAGGCCTGGCTCGCAGTCGGCGTTCCAATTCATCCCAAAGGTGTTCGATGGGGTTGAGGTCGGGGCTCTGTGCAGGCCAGTCAAGTTCTTCCACACCGATCTCGACAAACCATTTCTGTATGGACCTCGCTTTGTGCACGGGGGCATTGTCATGCTGAAACAGGAAAGGGCCTTCCCCAAACTGTTTCCACAAAGTTGGAAGCACAGAATCGATTACAATATCATTGTATGCTGTAGCGTTAAGATTTCCCTTCACTGGAACTAAGGGGCCTAGCCCGAATAATGAAAAACAGCCCCAGACCATTATTCCTCCTCCACCCAAACTTTGGACTTGGCACTATGCATTGGGGCAGGTAGCATTCTCCTGGCATCTACCAAACCCAGATTAGTCCGTTGGACTGCCAGATGTTGAACCGTGATTCCTCACTCCAGAGAACGCGTTTCCACTGCTCCAGAGTCCAATGGCGGCGAGCTTTACACCACTCCAGCCAACACTTGGCATTGCACATGGTGATCTTAGGCCATGGAACCCCATTCCATGAAGCTCCCGATAACAGTTATTGTGCTGAAGGAAAATAATCCTGCAGCAACAGGAAATGTGAATTATTATATGGAATATAATCCATAAACATTTTTTGTAGGGGTTGACACATTTTTTTGTTAGTGCAAATTAAGTCTGGCATTTTAAAGTAGAAATTACAAACTTCAGAAGCCCTTTTAAACATTGAATACACTACAAGTTTTCATTTTCTGCTATGCAGGACAATTCTCAGCGACAAACGAGTGATCAAATTAAGATCCTACATCTGTATGTGTGCTGAAATACCTACGCTCTCTCCCTCAAGTCTCTGTTTTCTCAAGTCTCTGTTTTCTCTCTATTTCAAGACTCTGTGGAGAGTCGAGAGCACAACACCGCCATTTTACCCTTTTTTCACTCAACCACAGAACCATAAATGTTTCCCCTTTGAGATGCTTCTGATTTATCGATGCACACATCTTTTTTTGTTGCTAAATGTGTGATAGCTGTCTCAAGATTACAGGAAGCATCTCATACTGTACTGTAAAATTAGTCTACGTCCGATTAGTTCTGTATCTTAGGTGAGGGGAAAATAAATGTATTCAAAAATGTTAATGTTTTGCATATCTTGTCAAGTGCGCTGCTTGTGGAGAATTGATTTATGCTTTGTGATCAGTCAAACATTTGCATTGCAAATCCAGAACAGCACAGCGTGTCTGACGCACCGTAGAAAGAAGTAGAGAAATGTTATTCAGGAAAATAGCATAATGTGATATGGTAGATATGAAAGATTATACACTTTTTCTTCATTATCAAAAATATATTTGATTCTGTGTTATTGCTAGAGACGTTACCAGACAAAACTCCTCCTGGCCCTAGTTACTTCTCATACAGATCACTCTGTTGTCACAGAGAATTTTCCTGCACAGCAGAAAATACTAATTGTAGTGTATTCAAGGTTTAAAAAGGCTTCTAAAATTTGTAATTTCCACTTTAAAATGTCAGACTTGATTTGCCCTGACGAAAAATGAATCAACCCCTACAATCCACATTTCCTGCAGGATTACTTTCCTGCTGTGTGAAATGGAAATGTGTTTTTTTGCATATACCAACTCCCCCAGAGAGTGGGGTCACAGCAATTATTGACAGCGACTCTGGAGCAATTAGGGTTAAGTGCCTTGCTCAAGGGCAGATTGACATATTTATTTTCACCTTGTCGGCTCAGGGATTCAAACTAACAACCTTGCGGTTACTGGCCCAAAAGTATAACCGCTAGGCTACCTGCCGCCCACCTGTATGTACAGTGCATTCGGAAAGTATTCAGACCCCTTCCCTTTTTCCACATTTAGTTACGTTACAGCCTTATTCTAAAATTGATTACATTTTTAAAAATCCACATCAATCTACACACAATGCCCCATAATGACGAAGCAAAAAATGTTTTTTATTTTAGCAAATGTATTAAAAATGAAAAACAGAAATACCTTATTTACATAACTATACAGACCCTTTTCTATGAGACTCGAAATTGAGCTCAGGTGCATCCTGTTTCCATTGACCATGCCTGAGATGTTTCTACAACTTCATTGGAGTCCACTTGTGGTAAATTCAGTTGATTGGGCATGATTTGGAAAGGCACACACCTGTCTATATAAGGTCCCACAGTTGACAGTGCATGTCAGAGCAAGAACCAAGCCATGAGGTTGAAGGAATTGTCCGTAGAGCGCCGAGACAGGATTGCGTCGAGGCACAGATCTGGGGAAGGGTACCAACAAATTTCTGCAGCATTGAAAGTCCCCAAGAACACAGCGGCCTCCATCATTCTTACATTTAATTTTTCCACATCAATCTACACACAATACCCCATAATGACAAAGTTAAAATCCATCAGTTAAAGTTAAAATCCATCCTCCATCATTCTTAAATGGAAGAAGTTTGAAACCACCAAGACTCTTCCCACAGCTGGCCCCCCGGCCAAACTGAGCAATCGGGGAGAAGGGTCAGGGAGGTGACCAAGAATCAGATGGTCACTCTGACAGAGCTCCTGAGTTCCTCTGTGGAGATGGGAGAACCTTCCAGAAGGATGACTATCTCTGCAGCACTCCACCAATCAGGCCTTTATGGTAGAGTGGCCAGACAGAAGCCACTCCTCAGTAAAAGGCACATGACAGCTCGCTTGGCATTTGCAAAAGGCACCTAAAGGACTCTCAGACCATGAGAAACAAGATTCTCAGGTCTGATGAAACCAAGATTGAACTCTTTGGCCTGAATGCCAAGCGTCACGTCTGGAGGAAACCTGGAACCATCCCTACGGTGAAGCATGAAGGTGGCAGCATCATGCTCTGGGTTGTTTTTCAGCAGCAGGGACTGGGAGACTAGCCAGGATCGAGGTAAAGATGAACGGAGCAAAGTACAGAGAGATCCTTGATGAAAACCTTGTCACGATCGTTATAAACAGCGGACCAAAGCGCAGCGTGATATGCGTACATCTTTTATTTAAGTGCACACACGAACAAAACAACAAACCAAACGATACGTGAAGTCCTAGGTTGTACACCAAAACAAACCTTACGGAACAAGATCCCACAAATAACTAGTGCCAACAGGCTGCCTAAGTATGGTTCCCAATCAGAGACAACGAGAATCAGCTGCCTCTGATTGGGAACCACCCTGGCCAACATAGATCTACACGAACTAGAACAAAACATAGAAAATACAACATAGACAATCCACACCCTGGCTCAACATATAAGAGTCCCCAGAGCCAGGGCGTGACAAACCTGCTCCAGAGTGCTCAGGACCTCAGACTGGGGCGAAGGTTCACCTTCCAACAGGACGATCCTAAGCACACAGCCAAGACAACGCAGGAGTGGCTTCGGGACAAGTCCCGGAATGTCCTTGAGTGGCCCAGCCAGAGCCCGGTCTTGAAACCGTATCGAACATCTCTGGAGAGACCTGAAAATAGCTGTGCAGCGACACTCCCCATCCAACCTGACAGCGCTTGAGAGGATATGCAGAGAAGAATGGGAAAAACTCCTCACATACAGGTGTGCCAAGCTTGTAGTGTCATACACAAGAAGACTGTGGAATGTGCAGTGCGGGAATTTGGTTCGGACTTTCCACCGTTGTCGCCCCTACGGAAACACCTATACACCGCCCGACACACTGATCAGACCATTCCCTGAGAGCCCTCTGTTGCCACGAAATGTTGGGGTCATGAGATATTAACCAAGGAAGCCCCAACACCACGGGAAACGCAGGTGAGTCGATCAAATACAACTGTATCATTTCCTCATGACCCCCTTGCGTCTTCATCTTAAGTGGCGCCGTGACCTCCCTAATCAATCCCGACCCCAAAGGGCGGCTGTCTAGGGCATGGATAGGGAAGGGCACATCAACTGGTATGAGGGGAATCCCTAACTTATAACAGAAACTACGATCAATAAAATTCCCAGCTGCGCCTGAATCGACTAGCGCCTTATGCTGGGAGTGAGAAGAAACCTGGGGGAACACAACTTGGATACACAAGTGGACAACAGAGAGCTCTGGGTGAGTTGGGCGCTTACTCACCTGGAATGACTCATCAGTGCGTGACCTGCTGCCTCGATCCCTAGGAGACCCTCCCCTGACACCCGGCCGCGGTGCCATCATAAGCCCTCGGGAGCGAGAGCCGAATCCCACTGGACTCCGGAGATGGAACGATGGGTCTGGCCGATGGTGGTGGTATTGTTGGAGGAGGTGTGGGCAAACCTCCTCTCTCCCATCGGCTCAAAGTGTCCATAACATCCTGCATGGCGGTGCCGAGTCTCTGGATCATGGCGTCTTGGCTGCTTACGCGCTCCTCCAATGATCCCGTCGGTACCGCTGATCCTGCTGACTCCATGGTGGTGTGTTATTCTGTCAAGGAGTGATGTGTACGCGGCGAGTGAAGTCAGACGCAGGACACAGAGATTCAGGCAGACTACTTTACTAAATGTAAAGTACTAAACAAACACCTCTGCAACTGGAGGGAAAAACACCATATAAGAAATATGGAATAACAGCAAGGCCGAACATCGACTAGACATAAAACAATAACACACAAATACCAAACATGAGACAAGGGAAATTATAGGCTAAACAATCAAACATAATAGACAACAGGTGTAACTACTCAAGACAAAACAAGACAAACACCGAAACATCGATCGGCAGTAGCTAGTACTACGGGGACGACGAACGCCGAAGCCTGCCCGAGCAAGGAGGAGGAGCAGCCTCGGCAGAATCCGTGACAACTTATGTAAATGTAATATTTCCGTTTGTTATTTGTAATACATTTGCAACAAATTCTAAAAATCTGTTTTCACTTTGTCATTATGGGGTATTAAGTGTAGATTGATGAGGGGGAAAAAACAATTTAATCCGTTTCAGAATAAGGCTGTAACGTAACAAAATGTGGAAAAAGTCAAGGGGTCTGAATACTTTCTGAATGCACTGTATACTGTACAGTAAGTAGGCCTACAGCAGTTTTTTTACTCTCCTGGGGTTGCAGAGCTACATATCCAGTACAGATGTAGGATCTTAATTTGAGCCAGTTTGCTACAGAAGGAAAATAATCCCGCAGCAACAGGAAATGTGAATTATTATATAGTTTATAATCCATTTTTTTTAAATCTAGGGGTTGACACATTTTTTGTTAGGGCAAATGAAGTCTGGCATTTTAAAGTAGAAATTACAAACTTCAGAAGCCCTTTTAAACATTGAATACACTACAAGTTTGCATTTCCTGCTATGCAGGACAATTCTCAGCAACAAAAGAGTGATCCAATTAAGATCCTACATCTGTATGTGTGCTGAAATACCTACAGTGGGGAGAATAAGTATTTGATACAATGCCGATTTTGCAGGTTTTCCTACTTACAAAGCATGTAGAGGTCTGTAATTTTTGATCATAGGTACACTTCAACTGTGAGAGACAGAATCTAAAACAAAAATCCAGAAAATCACATTGTATGATTTTTAAGTAATTAATTTGCATTTTATTGCATGACATAAGTATTTGATACATCAGAAAAGCAGAACTTAATATTTGGTACAGAAACCTTTGTTTGCAATTACAGAGATCATACGTTTCCTGTAGGTCTTGACCAGGTTTGCACACACTGCAGCAGGGATTTTGGCCCACTCCTCCATACCTTCTCCAGATCCTTCAGGTTTCGGGGCTGTCGCTGGGCAATACGGACTTTCAGCTCCCTCCAAAGATTTTCTGTTGGGTTCAGGTCTGGAGACTGGTTAGGCCACTCCAGGACCTTGAGATGCTTCTTACGGAGCCACTCCTTAGTTGCCCTGGCTGTGTGTTTCGGGTCGTTGTCATGCTGGAAGACCCAGCCACGACCCATCTTCAATGCTCTTACTGAGGGAAGGAGGTTGTTGGCCAAGATCTCGCGATACATGGCCACATCCATCCTCCCCTCAATACGGTGCAGTCGTCCTGTCCCCTTTGCAGAAAAGCATCCCCAAAGAATGATGTTTCCACCTCCATGCTTCACGGTTGGGATGGTGTTCTTGGGGTTGTACTCATCCTTCTTCTTCCTCCAAACACGGCGAGTGGAGTTTAGACCAAAAAGCTCTATTTTTTGTCTCATCAGACCACATGACCTTCTCCCATTCCTCCTCTGGATCATCCAGATGGTCATTGGCAAACTTCAGACGGGCCTGGACATGCGCTGGCTTGAGCAGGGGGACCTTGCGTGCGCTGCAGGATTTTAATCCATGACGGCGTAGTGTGTTACTAATGGTTTTCTTTGAGACTGTGGTCCCAGCTCTCTTCAGGTCATTGACCAGGTCCTGCCGTGTAGTTCTGGGCTGATCCCTCACCTTCCTCATGATCATTGATGCCCCACGAGGTGAGATCTTGCATGGAGCCCCAGACCGAGGGTGATTGACCGTCATCTTGAACTTCTTCCATTTTCTAATAATTGCGCCAACAGTTGTTGCCTTCTCACCAAGCTGCTTGCCTATTGTCCTGTAGCCCATCCCAGCCTTGTGCAGGTCTACAATTTTATCCCTGATGTCCTTACACAGCTCTCTGGTCTTGGCCATTGTGGAGAAGTTGGAGTCTGTTTGATTGAGTGTGTGGACAGATGTCTTTTATACAGGTAACGAGTTCAAACAGGTGCAGTTAATACAGGTAATGAGTGGAGAACAGGAGGGCTTCTTAAAGAAAAACTAACAGGTCTGTGAGAGCCGGAATTCTTACCGGTTGGTAGGTGATCAAATACTTATGTCATGCAATAAAATGCAAATTAATTACTTAAAAATCATACAATGTAATTGTCTGGATTTTTGTTTTAGATTCCACCTCTCACAGTTGAAGTGTACCTATGATAAAAATTACAGACCTCTACATGCTTTGTAAGTAGGAAAACCTGCAAAATCGGCAGTGTGTCAAATACTTGTTCTCCCCACTGTACGTTCTCTCCCTCAAGTCTCTGTTTTCTCAAGTCTCTGTTTTCTCTCTATTTCAAGACTCTGTGGAGAGTTCGAGAGCACAACACCACCCTTTTTTCACTCAACCACAGAACCATAAATGTTTCCCCTTTGAGATGCTTTTGATTTATCGATGCACGCATCTTTTTTTTGTTGCTAAATGGGTGATAGTTGTCTCAAGATTACAGGAAGCATCTCATACTGTACTGTAAAATTAGTCTACATCCGATTAGTTCTGTGTCTTAGGTGAGGGGAAAATAAATGTATAAAAAAATGTTAATGTTTTGTCTATCTTGTCAAGTGTGCTGCTTGTGGAGAATTGATTTATGCTTTGTGATCAGACAAACATTTGCATTGCAAATCCAGAACAACACAGCGTGTCTGATGCACCGTAGAAATAAGTAGAGAAATGTTATTCAGGAAAATAGCATAATGTGATATGGTAGATATAAAAGATTATACACAATTTCTTCATTATCAAAAAGATATTCGATTCTGTGTTATCGCTAGAGACGTTACCAGACAAAAACTCCTCCTGGCCCCAGTTACTTCTCATACAGATCACTCTGTTGTCACAGAGAATGTTCCTGCACAGCAGAAAAACTAATTGTAGTGTATTTGAGGTTTTAAAATGCTTCTAAAGTTTGTAATTTCCACTTTGAAATGTCAGACTTGATTTGCCCTAATGAAAAATTTATCAACCCCTACAATCCACATTTCCTGCACGATTACTTTCCTGCTGTGTGAAATGGAAATGTTTTTTTTTGCATATACTAACTCCCCCAGAGAGTGGGGTCACAGCAATTATTGACAGCGACTCTGGAGCAATTAGGGTTAAGTGCCTTGCTCAAGGGCAGATTGACATATTTATTTTCACCTTGTCGGCTTGGGGATTCAAACTAACAACCTTGCGGTTACTGGCCCAAAAGGACCTGTATTTACAATGCATTCGGAAAGTATTCAGACCCCTTCCCTTTTTCCACATTTAGTTATGTTACAGCCTTATGCTAAAATGGATTACATTAAATTTTTTCCACATCAATCTACACAATTTTTCTTTGAGCAAATTTATTAAAAATGAAAAACAGAAATACCTTATTTACATAACTACAGTGAGGGAAAAAAGTATTTGATCCCCTGCTGATTTTGTACGTTTGCCCTCTGACAAAGACATGATCAGTCTATACATTTAATGGTAGGTTTATTTGAACAGTGAGAGACAGAATAACAACAAAAAAATCCAGAAAAACACATGTCAAAAATGTTATAAATTGATTTGCATTTTAATGAGGGAAATACGTATTTGACCCCTCTGCAAATCATGACATGGCAAAAATCACAGAGGTCAGACGTTTCTTGTAGTTGGCCACCAGGTTTGCACACATCTCAGCAGGGATTTTGTTCCACGCCTCTTTGCAGATCTTCTCCAAGTCATTAAGGTTTTGAGGCTGACTTTTTGCAACTCGAACCTTCAGCTCCCTCCACAGATTTTCTATGGGATTAAGGTCTAGAGACTGGCTAGGCCACTCCAGGACCTTAATGTGCTTCTTCTTGAGCCACTCCTTTGTTGCCTTGGCCGTGTGTTTTGGGTCATTGTCATGCTGGAATACCCATCCACGACCCCTTTTCAATGCCCTGGCTGAGGGAAGGAGGTTCTCACCCAAGATTTGACGGTACATGACCCCGTCCATTGTCCCTTTGATGCGGTGAAGTTGTCCTGTCCCCTTAGCAGAAAAACAGCCCCAAAGCATAATGTTTCCACCTCCATGTTTGACGGTGGGGAAGGTGTTCTTGGGGTCATAGACAGCATTCCTCGTCCTCCAAACACGGCGAGTTGAGTTGATGCCAAAGAGCTTGATTTTGGTCTCATCTGACCACAACACTTTCACCCAGTTCTCCTCTGAATCGTTCAGATGTTCATTGGCAAACTTCAGACAGGCCTGTATATGTGCTTTCTTGAGCAGGGGGACCTTGCGGGCGCTGCAGGATTTCAGTCCTTCACGGCGTAGTGTGTTACCAATTGTTTTCTTGGTGTCTATGGTCCCAGGTGCCTTGAGATCATTGACAAGATCCTCCCGTGTAGTTCTGGGCTGATTCCTCACCGTTCTCATGATCATTGCAACTCCACGAGGTGAGATCTTGCATGGAGCCCCAGGCCGAGGGAGATTGACAGTTCTTTTGTGTTTCTTCCATTTGCAAATAATCGCACCAACTGTTGTCACCTTCTCACCAAGCTGCTTGGCGATGGTCTTGTAGCCCATTCCAGCCTTGTGTAGGTCTACAATCTTGTCCCTGACATCCTTGGAGAGCTTTTTGGTCTTGGCCATGGTGGAGAGTTTGGAATATGATTGACTGATTGCTTCTGTGGACAGGTGTCTTTTATACAGGTAACAAGCTGAGATTAGGATCACTCCCTTTAAGAGTGTGCTCCTAAACTCAGCTCGTTACCTGTATAAAAGACACCTGGGAGCCAGAAATCTTTCTGATTGAGAGTGGGTCAAATACTTATTTCCCTCATTAAAATGCAAATCAATTTATAAAATGTTTGACATGCGTTTTTCTGGATTTTTTTGTTGTTATGCTGTCTCTCACTGTTCAAATAAACGTACAATTAAAATTATACACTGATCATTTCTTTGTCAGTGGGCAAACGTACAAAATCAGCAGGGGATCAAATACTTTTTTCCCTCACTGTATACAGACCCTTTTCTATGAGCTCAGGTGCATCCTGTTTCCATTAACCATCCCTGAAATGTTTCTACAACTTCATTGTGGTAAATTCAGTTGATTGGGCATGATTTGAAAGGCACACACCCGTCTATATAAGGTCCCACAGTTGACAGTGCATGTCAGAGCAAAAACCAAGCCATGAGGTCGAAGGAATTGTCCGTAGAGCTCCGAGACAGGATTGTGTCAAGGCACAGATCTGGGGAAGGGTACCAACACATTTCTGCAGTATTGAAAGTCCCCAAGAACACATTGGCCATCATCATTCTTAAATGGAGGAAGTTTGGAACCACCAAGAGCTGGCAGCCCGGCCAAACTGAGCAATCGGGGGAGAAGGACCTTGGTCAGGGAGGTGACCAAGAACCGATGGCCACACTGACAGAGCTCCAGAGTCCTCTGTGGAGATGGGAGAACCTTCCAGAAGGACAACCATCTCTGCAGCAATCCACCAATCAGGCCTTTATGGTAGAGTGGCCAGACGGAAGCCACTCCTCAGTAAATGGCACATGACAGAGCTTGAGAGGATCTGCAGAGAAGAATGGGAGTAACTCCCAAAATACAGGTGTGCCAAGCTTGTAGCGTCATACCCAAGAAGACTCGTGGCTGTAATTGCTCACATTTCTACAAACATGTTTTGCTTTGTCATTATGAGGTATTGTGTGTAGATTGATTAGTTTTTTGTTAATCCATTTTAGAATAAGGCTGTAACGTAATAAAATGTGGAAAAAGTCAAGGGGTCTGAATTCTTTCTGAATGCACTGTACTTATCAGTAACAAGTAACTACAGGCTTTAGTCCTATTTTTGCGAGATGTAATAACTTTTGTCTTCCAGAGACAGTCTTGTGTGCTGCTCTCTGACTCCCCCCTGTCTCTCCTGTCTCCTCAGTCCAACGCCACTCCCACCCCCCATCTCCCATTCATCACCAACGCCACTCCCCTGTGCCCCAGCGCCACTCCCCCATCCCCAAACGCCACTCCCCCATCCCGCCCCAGCACCACTCCCCCATCCCCCAGCGTCGCTCCCCTGTTCTCCAGCCACAGCACCTCTCCCCGGACATGCACCGCCGCTCACCCCTGCTGGATATTAATGATGGGCCTGCCTCCTACTCCTGCCGGCCAGCCAGCCACCACCTGAGGGCCAGCTTCCAGGGCCGCCGCAGCTACTCCGAGGTGGCTGACCCTTCTGCCTACCAGCGGCCGCCGCGCCTCAGCATGGACCCTGTGTCCACCCTGCCCAAGCCCCGGCCCTACAGGGACTCCAGCTACTCCAAGCAGCATCAGCAGCACCATGGAGGCTCCCAGCATGGGGGGTCCCCCCACAGAGGAGGCCAGCTCCGAGGTTCCCAGTCTGAGCTGCAGAGGGCAGGCAGCGAGGTGGGCCTCCACGAAAGTTCCCGCCACTCCCGAGAGCTTCCCTTCCCCCTGTCCGAGGTCTCTCCCAGGTCTCACCTGCACTTTGAGCCCCTGCCACCCCCCACACCCGCCCCCCAGCCGCCACAGTCCTCTGAAGACGAGGAGGAGTGGACCTGTCCGCACCCCGTCAGCCCCCCACGGACGCTGGGCGTGCCCAACAATGTGTCGCCTCATGGGGTCATGAGAGGGCCGGCGTCCTGCTCGGCCTTCCCTATCCCATCCAGACCCAACACCCTGACCTGCCACCCACCAGGTTACCTGCACGCAGAGCACGCCCAATCCTGGCCCTCTATCAATGTGAGTCACACGCACACTCTATCCCAAATATACTGTATAATATCATTATTATATCACAACAATCTTTAAAATTGTAAAATGTGTCATGGTTAGCTTGCTATCCCCCTCAATCAAAATCTGTCTTTGAAAGAGAACTGCCCTTGACTTGTTAATGGCTTCCTGCACTGTGCAATTTCATGGGAAATGCTCTGTGTAACATGATATTTCTTCTAATGCACCTTTACATATGAGCTTATTTTCTTCGTGAAATAACCTAAATGGTCCAAATATTATCATTGATAGTTGCCATAGGCCAACACTGCTTGTTGACCTGAATGGTGTGTGTTTTCGATACAGCTGTGGATGGAGACAGAAGAGAGTGACATGAGGAGCTGCCCTCTGTGCCAGCTGATCTTCCCCATTGGTTACCCTGACGACGCCCTCATCAAGCACATCGACTCGCACCTTGAGAACAGCAAGATCTGATCGCCATGGCAGCACTGCACCCTCTTTTTAGTTGCTACTATTTTAAACTTATATTGTGGAGTTATTTTAGGTTTTGTTTGTTTTAAGCTGGCTGGCTTTTGTTTGACAAGACTTGAGAGGGCTTTTTGTGGGCTTATTAGCATGTTTGGGAAAAATAGGTGGTTTAAAAAATGACATGGATGGCGTTGAGGTTCATGACAGACAATTTCCTTGACAGATGCAAGATCAGGGACATTCCAGGCACCTTGCAGTCCATCTGTTTTTATATCTCACACTTTACCGGTACTACTTGCTGTAATGCGGCCTGCTTTAGTTGCCTCTCTAACTATGTACAGCAATACAGACCAACCACAATGAATTCCTGGAATTATTTGGGTGACTCTAATGGATAGATCCAGTCTGTTTGTTCTTCAGGGCTTGACGATGTGCAGTCAGAGGTCAGAGTTATGTTATGAAGAGAGGATGGCAGTGTTAATTGTGTGTAGATATGAATTTGTCCTGCAGGGCGGGGCATGTAGTTGGCGTGACGACCTCGCTGTAGTGGAGCGGAAGGAACGCATAGACAGATTATCTTTATGCTTGTGGCCTGATCAGAACTCTATATGAATCTTAGCACCTTAAGTTAACCTAAATGAGCCTACATTCAAGCATAATTTCACCCCTATATTTTCCATTTAATGTATCATTTGATATATCTGTTCAGTTACAAGTAAAAAAGATCTGAACATATATTTTCATATTTTTTTGTTTTATGTTAATGTGTCACACGTGTCTTATGTTGGTGACATTTCACCCTCACAAGCTTGCACACAGCTGTATATAGATAGTAGGACATGAGGTGTTCTGATAGGGAAGAGAGCATGGAAAATATTTTATATGATAACAGTGATTCAACTGGGAGTCTCTTTAGTCTTCCTGAAGAACCGACCTGCAAACACTTATGGTGATACAGTATTTATCACTTTTGTCCAAAAGAAAACATTTCTCAATCCTTACAGTCCAACACTGGCACACTTAGTATTTTATATCTTATACATAGATATCTCAAATATAACCTCCAAAATTCAGAGTGAGTGTTTGAGGGTAATATTATGGAATCACTTTTTTTGTTGAGTCGAATATGTTGTACATAATTGGTATCTGACATTTTGGTGAGACACAGTGGCTGCGTTTACACAGGCCAAAACACACACACACAAATCTATTTTTTAAAAATAATAATTTTTACTAATTGGTCTTTTTACCAATCACATCAGATATTTTCACAGCGTCTGTTTTTCAGAGCTAATCTGATTGGTCAAAAGACCAATCATAGTGAAACAGATCAGAATTGGGCTGCCTGTGTAAATACAGCCAATGTGAATGTGTCAATGTGTATCCATCAATGCATTTAGGTGGTTGTCAATTTTGGACAAAATTATATTCAGAATTCACCAACATGGCAAGTTGAACAATTAAATAATACAAGGGCCATACATTGATTTGAGCAAATCAGTGGCCTTTTATAAACCACAAATATTCTATACTGTTATGTATATTCATATATCACCCTGTGTAAAACTTTTAAAGCTGTGTACAGACAGGTATTGTAAGCCTAATGCAAGTTATTCTGTGGTCAATAACTTTAATTAAATAGCATCTGCTATTAATAATCTCTATTATCCTGGCTACCAATTTAAAATATACACAGTAAATCCTATTCTTCTATTTAATCTATTTTATAGCCTATTGGTTTGAAGTAATGTTCTTGCTAGCTTATCTTCAATCAATTTAACAACCTCCATGACTAATACAGTATGATGTTGATAAGCATTTTATATATTCTTGGCCCAATTTGTAATGTAGCACATGATAGTTTGGTTACTATCAGAGCTCTATATATATAGTTTACTATATATTCTATAGTAGGCCTACAAAGGGGTGGAAAATGAACAAACTCACCTACACTAACGGTCAAAAGTTTTAGAACACCTACTCATTCAAGGGTTTTTCTTTATTTTGACTATTTTCTACATTGTAGAATAAAAGTGAAGACATCAAAACTATGAAATAACACATATGGAGTCATGTAGTAACCAAAAAAGTGTTAAACAAATTTTATATTTGAGATTCTTCAAATAGCCACCCTTTGCCTTGATGACAGCTTTGCACATGCTTGGCATTCTCTCAACCAGCTTCACCTGGAATGCTTTTCCAACAGTCTTGAAGGAGTTCCCACATATGCTGAGCACTTGTTGGCTGCTTTTCCTACACTCTGCAGTCCGACTCCTCCCAAACATCTCAATTTGGTTGAGGTTGGGGGATTGTGGAGGCCAGGTCATCTGATGCAGCACTCCATCACTCTCCTTCTTGGAAAAATAGCTCTTACACAGCCTGGAGGTGTGTTGGGTCATTGTCCTGTTGAAAAACAAATGATAGTCCCACTAAGCCCAAACCAGATGGGATGGCGTATCACTGCAGAATGCTGTGGTAGCCATGCTGGTTAAGTGTGCCTTGAATTCTAAATAAATCACAGACAGTGTCACCAGCAAAGCACCCCCACACCATAACACCTCCTCCTCCATGCTTTACGGTGGGAAATACGCATGCGGAGATCATCCATTCACCCACACCGCGTCTCACAAAGACACAGCGGTTGGAACCAAAAATCTCCAATTTGGACTCCAGACCAAAGGACACATTTCCACCGGTCTAATGTCCATTGATCGTTTTTCTTGGCCAAAGCAAGTCTCTTCTTATTATTGGTGTCCTTTAGTAGTGGTTTCTTTGCAGCAATTCGACCATGAAGGCCTGATTCACACAGTCTCCTCTGAACAGTTGACGTTGAGGTGTGTCTGTTACTTGAACTCTGTGAAGCATTTATTTGGGCTGCAATTTCTGAGGCTGGTAACTCTAATTAACTTATCCTCTGCAGCAGAGGTAACTCTGGGTCTTCCATTCCTGTGGCGGTCCTCATGAGAGCCAGTTTCATAATAGCGCTTGATGGTTTTTGCGACTGCACTTGAAGAAACTTTCAAAGTTCTTGAAATGTTCCGTATTGACTGAACTTCATGTCTTAAAGTAATGATGGACTGTCGTTTCTCTTTGCTTATTTGAGCTGTTCTTGCCATAATATGGACTTGGTCTTTTACCAAATAGGGCTGTCTTCTGATGTCTTCACTATTATTCTACAATGTAGAAAATATTAAAAATAAAGAAAAACCCTTGAATGAGTAAGTGTTCTAAACTTTTAACCAGTAGTGTATGTAAAATCCTATAGTCATATGTTAAAAAATACATATTTTTAAATCTCTCAATTATTTCACTTTGGGAACTCTATTCCCACGCATTCCCGCCCCTGGTAGTATATCTATATTCTAATTTGAAACTAATAATGATGTATATGATGGTGCATTTAAAATAATGTTATCAATTACTAGCCAGCCCACACAAAGACAACATTGGCTGTCATTGGCTGTGTACAGAATTTCAATTTGGATTGTACCTTTTGATTACCGTATTGGTCCGAATATAAGACGACCCTGATTATAAGACGACCCCCCGTTTTTCAACACAAACATTTAGAAAAACAGATTTGCAGACTAGATTTGCCGAACAAAGAACTTCATTTTATTTTAAAATAACAATATTAAAAACACAGTGAATTAAACACAAAGGCAAACTATGTACAGTATGATTCAAAATTAATATCAAGCAATAATAAAGCAACATTTTTAAATAACAGAGAAAATACAGGCCACACATTTAACTAAACTTAACAAAAATTCGCCAAACTTCTCCTCCGATGTCTCTCTATCCCTCACACACGTCCTCTGCCCCGCTGTGTTCGCTCTCGCTGTCATCGCTCCCCAGCTGCTCCGCTTCCACCGGCTCCTCCCAAAGCACGTCGTCCGGGTAGGAGTGCTTCTTCCTCAGGTTGATAACAAAGCGCTGAAACGAAAGCAGCTTCTCTCCGAAGTCTGACGGCAGGCGTTGGGCCAAACTCGTTCTCCGTCTAAGTGATAGTCCATTACGCCGCATCATCCTACGACACCAGCCGAGGCTGGCTTTAAATCCAGTGATGTTGAGCTCTCTGGCGATTTCCAGGGCCTTAACCTGGATGACAGCTCTGGTAATGGGCATTCCCTCACTTCTTTTTTCCCTGACATATTCAAAAACCCTCCGGTCAACCTCAATGAAACGACCACTTTGAGGACCACGGAAGGATTTTCGCTGACTGTTAGCATCTTTTAGACGTTGTTTTTCTGCTCGCCATCTTCTTACATTACACTCAGTGACCCCGAATGTCTTGGCAGCTTGGCAGTTGTTAGATGACTCTGCCTTATTGACAACCATTATTTTGAAATTGGCATCATAGCTCCTCCGCTGTTGTTTATTGACCTGGCCCACTTTTGAGCCACTTGTCTCTAAATGGTCAGCCTGTCTTTCCATCTTTAAACACCGGTAACGGGCTGGTTGTTAAGGACGCCTCTTCCCTCCGTCCGGAACGAATTTTTGGCGCCATCTGTGCCCGCGAATGTGTATTGACATTTAAAGGGAGCGCCGAAGAAGAGAAACTGCGCTCTGAATACTAGACCCCGAATATAAGACGACCCGACTTTTTTGGACCTATTTCGAGGGGAAAAAAGGCCGTCTTATATTCGGACCAATACGGTACTTTGAATGAAGTACCCTTTCATAACCAAAGAAACCTTGATTAGATATATGTACCGGATATACACTTATCTCTCTTGATGATGACCAAGTATCAATTAAGCATATCATGTTCACACAGATATGAATGAAGAGATTATACACATATATGAATGAAAATATTATACACAGATATGAATGAAGAGATTATACATATATATGAATGAAGAGATGATACACAGACATGAATGGAGAGATTACTAAAATGTAAATGTAAATAGGAATGAAGAGATTATACTGTTTTAAGGAAAGCATTTATGACCAAAATATTTTGACCAGCAGCTGTAGTACATAGCAAACATGCCTAT